GTGGATTAGACCTCCTGAGATCTCTTGTGGATTGGATCCCTGAGATCGCTTGTGGATTAGACCTCCTGAGATCTCTTGTGGAATGGATTACCTGTGATCTCTTGTAGATTGGATACCTGAGATCTCTTGTGGATTGGGCTTCCTGAGATCTCCTGTAGATTGGATTACCTGGTCCTTATGGAATAAATAAATGATAAAATTTGGGTCATCCAGTCTTAACTGTTGATTTGGGAGCCAGTCCCACAGGTTGTAAATAACCATAAAGAAGGAAGACTTAGAGAGGTCCTTTGCCAGGAATGCATCTACATGTAGTCCTTGACTTACAGGCATGTGTTTAGTGACCATTCAGTCATTGGCATAGGCATTGAAAAGAGTGACTTGCAATCGGTCCTCACCCTTATGACTGTTGCAGCAACATCAACATCATGTGATCAAAATTCGGGTACTTGGCAACCAGGCAGCAGGTATTTGCAATGGTTGTAGTCTTCTGGGGTCATGTGATCACCAGGTAGGACCTCCCCATTTGCCTTCTGTGAATGGGGGAAGCCAGTTCTGCTTAACAACCATGTGATTCACTCGACCCCTTGTGTAGCAGTTCTCTTGGCTGATGCAAGAAAAGGTCATAAAATCAGGTGCAACTCAAGCACCGCCCACTTTCCTTTTGCAATGGAAATTCTAGTCCTAGATGTGATTGCAAGTTGAGGATTTATTTGCCTGGCAAGGCTTCATTCTGATTTGGCATCTTTCTCTTCCTACAGCCCACCTGTGCATGGAAAGCTATTTCATGCCATTTGAAAAATAAGTTCAACTGAGCTGTCCCATTCAGAATGGAGAACGGACATTGAACAAGCTCTTCATTTAAGGATGAATAATTTAAATTTAATGGTGCATTATTTATATTGGTGTGCTGTTCTGTTTCTCCTCGCTTTCCCCCATATCCCATCAAACACAGTGAATGGTCTCTTCTTAATTTAACTACAACATTGACTTTAGCAATCCTACAAGGAAGGTTAGGTTCAAGGAGAAAAGGAGAAAAAAAAATCATCATTTTTGGAAGGGATCTCTCTTAAAATAATCTACATTTCAAACTACTTTGAGGTTGCTTGATGTCCTTGGGCAATGTAGCACTTGATTTTCAGTAGGTTTAAGGTGGCCCAAACCTTTACACTACAAAAGGAACATTTTTGAAGATTTTATTTTATTTGGTTTGTCAATTGCTTACAAGATAATAGGTATAATGGATTGTTAAAATATATCCAAAGCTGCATTGGCCCGTGGGTGGGTGGGTGGGTGGGTGTGGGGAGAGACCATCCAAAATCCACAGCTGGTTGGTAGCTTTATTTATTGCAACCAGCACAATGTAATATAATAACATGTTCAGTCTTTTCCATTTCTGAATCTCTCTCTCTCTCTCTCTCTCTCTCTCTCTCTCTCTCTCTCTCTCTCCCTCCCTCCCTCCCTCCCTCCCTCCCTCCCAAAAAATAAATCCTGAGATTTATACATGCATATAAACATCCTGAGAAAGTTATACATGTCCAAATTCTCCACATTTTAAAGAAAATTGTCCTTTTGTGTCCAATTCCACACTATTTAGTTGCATCAACAACACGAAATGGCTTGTGCCATAGTAAAGGCTGATATAGTTACAGTTGCATTGGTCCATGAAAATTTAAGCCTTAACACGTTTTATTAATTTTTCTGTAAAGTTGTAAAGAAAGTCATATATCTGAACTTTAAGCAGGATTGGGCTACCTATTTCTTTTGGTGGAAAACTGCTTTGTAATATTTAGCCAATGCCAAAGTTCTGATGCTGGCTGAGTTCTGATGGACACCTTTGTCTGAGAGCTTACTTGGTAAGAAGCAAGAGTCAACCTTCTCAAACATGTAAAGAAGAACCAACCTTCTCAAACATCTAAAGAAGAACCAACCTTCTCAAACATCTAAAGATGATCCAACCTTCTCAAACATCTTAAGAAGATCCAACCTTCTCAAACATCTAAAGAAGATCCAACCTTCTCAAACATCTAAAGAAGATCCAACCTTCTCTTCCATTTCGGAGCTGTCCCAACTTCAGCAGCTTTAATGGCTGCCTCTTCGCCGCTGGCAAAAAGTGCTTCTCCTGGATCTACCAGGGACTTTCTGGTATCCCTGGGATCTACAGGATGCGCTTTTCACTATCACCGTCTCTTTGGGATGGTTTAGATCCGTTTGGACCATCCAGGGGTGAAGATATCGGCTGCGATCTCAGACCTCCAAGATCGCATGCCATATCGTCATGACACCAGCTCCGCCCTCCTGATTCTATAAATAAACTGGGACATTAATTTCACTTTTTGTCCAACTTGTAGCGACTAGAATTTAGGATTAATGGAAAAAATCCACAATAAATCTTCAACAGCAGAGCTCTCCATTTGATCCCTCTTAAGGATGAAGACTAATTTTCATTACAAGCCTAGACTAGACTAAAGGTGTTTGTGATCTGGTGTTTTGGGGGAAACCTGGTCATGGACTTAATCTGTTGGGTAAACAAAGCCCATCATGTTAATGTGGATAATTTGGGCATAACATGGAATGCATATGTAGACAATATGTTGAGCTAACCTGGGTTTAGCATGTTGTGTGAACTTAGTCTAATGTATCAAGTGGATGGGCCAATGGTAAGAGGTCTGCCATTTGCCTTCTCTAGAAATGCAAGTAGTGGCTACCCAAGGTAATTCTTAGAGATACTCCTGAGACTTCAGAACCATGGACAGGGACAAATTTTATTGACTTGTTTTCAATTGGCTTCTACAGTACTTATCTTCAGTGTCTTCTTCTCTTGTCTCTTCTTTGCAGGGATCTTTGATATTCCTTATTAGTGGCTTAGTAATCTTGGGTTATGCTGCTTCCATCAGCACTCAGACAACCTACCAAGGTGTGGTGAGAGAAATCTGTGGGTCAGCTGTGGGCAAGCTTTGTGAAGTGTGCTTCATCTTGAACCTCTTCATGATCTCCGTGGCCTTCCTCAGAGTTATGGGAGATCAACTGGAAAAATGTGAGACCTGGATTTCCTCAGAAAATGCTAACTCTACTTTGGTACTCAGCAGTCTTTTTTGGGCTGGGTGAGGTGGTGGAGACAGTAGAGGAAGTGACTTTATTTTTTCAGCAGAAAAAAAATACTCAGTCATGAAGTTTTGTGCGTGTGTGTGAGGGTGCACAAGTCCGAACTTTGAATTGGGGTCCCAAAAACCTTTTTCATGGTCTGTTGTAACTTGGAACAATTGCTAAATGATCGACCATAAATCTAGGACTGTCTGTAGATCAAAAAAACAAAGCAGAAGGAGACAAACTGATAAATCGGTCAACTTCAAAAGCCTTTTGATACATTCCTGCTGTCAGCCTTGAAAGTCATGTTTTCCTTGGAAGCTTTGAGGCTGCCACATTTAGTGCCTGGGAATTTGGGAGGGGGGATTTCATAGAGAGGAAGAAGATTAGACTCAACAACATTCTTTTTCAGAGAGTCAAGGACAAGCTTGCTCTGCACCTGGAAAGGAGTGTTTAGAGGAAGGTCTCCAGTTGGGATGATGTTTTGATTGGGCCATGTGATGGACTGGTGGGTGCAGGGGATGGATCTTGGATTTCTCTTTTGGGAAGGGAAAACCCAGAACTCTCAGATTTGAGTTTTCCCAGATGTGCTGATATGACAACTCTAATAAAATGGAACTTTGAGAAATTTATTGTCTGGGAGTTTATTGGGTTGGAGTTGGTTAGCTGGAACGCTGATACCTGCCCTCTTCTACCACTGACCTTTTCTAACTCTCTTGTAGTATGTGACTCTTTCTCCCTCAACGAAACCCTGAATGGAGACACTTTTCGCCCGCCCTGGTTTATTGACCAACGTTTCACTTTGTCTACCTTGTGCCTCCTGGTTATTTTCCCACTCTCCATCCCAAGACAAATTGGCTTCCAAAAATATACAAGGTAAGAAAGAGTTCAAAGGGTCCAGTGTTGGAACTGGGGCATGCCAGGGATTAAGTCTTAACCCCAACTTCGATCTGATTTATATCCCCGGGTATGTTTTGGGAGGAAGTGAAACAGAATATGGGTTTTACCCTGGTTGGACAGAGTAAAGTGCAAAACAAGAGCACAGAATATAGAATAGTTGGGAGGGACCTTGGACATCATCTAGTCCAACCCCCTGCTGAAGACAAATGGCTGCCAGTCTTGAAAACCTCCAGCGATGGAGCATCCGCCACTTCCTGCATTCGCATGACTTCATTTTATGATAGTTTTGCTGAAGACTTGCACTTATATCTGGTTTTCAGCAAAGCTGAAACCATGGGTTTGCTTAATGACCGCAAACTTTGCTCAATGACTGCAGCAGCAGCACCTTTACAATTGGTGTTCACTTAATGCAAAAAAAATAATAACATTGGATTGGTCACATGACTGTTTTACAACCGTCAGAACTTATGACCTTAATGGGCAGGTTCCATTGTAGTCATATAACAGAATAACAGAGTTGGAAGGGACCTTGTATGTCATCTAGTCCAACCCCCCCGCCCAAGCAGGAAACCCTGCCTACACCATTTCTGACAGATGGGAGTCCAGTCTCTTCTTGAAAGCCTCCAGGGATGAAGCTCCCATAACTTCTGAAAGCAATTTCTCTTCCATTGGTTGATTGTTCTCACTGTCAGAAAATTTCTCCTTATTTCCAGGTTGAATCTCTCTTTGTTCAGTTTCCACCCATGATTCCTTGTCTGACCTTCGGGTGCCTTGGAAAATAGCTTGACCCCTTCCTCTCTGTGGAAGCCCTTCAAAGGTCTTCTAGACCAACCTCCTGTTCAGGCAGGAGCCTCTTTACCATTTCAGACAGATGGTTGTCCAATTTCTTCTTAAAAACAATCCAGCACTGAAGCATCTACAACTTCTGAAGGCAAGCCATTCCACCGTTAACTGTTCCCACCATTAGGAAAAAATCTCCTTAGTTCTAGGTTGGTCTTCTTGAGGACTTCCTGCAGAACCTTTTGCCACCGTCCAATTTTTGCTCTTTCTGCGTATCTTTTCCAGTATCCTTGGCACTTTAGCTGCCTGCTACCTGATGCTGGTCATCGTGCTGAAATATTATCTCCGAACAGATCACGCTGTCAAGCAGGAGCGTTTCCATTCTGCTAGGTAAGTATGGGCATAGTTGCCCGTGGCTGTCCTTGAATTCGACTCCTTGATGCAAGTCATAAATCATTGTGGGATTGTGTGAGGACACTCTTAAGAAGGTGCTGCTGAAAATCCTGTCTGGTGCTCCTCATTTGCCCTATGGCAGGAGTCTCCAAACTTGGCAACTTTAAGCCTGGAGAACTTCAACTCCCAGAATTCCCTAGCCAGCTTTGGCTGGTGAATTCTGGGAGTTGAAATCCTCCTGGCTTAAAGTTGCCAAGGTTGGAGACCCCTGCCCTAGGGGACAAACCAGCCCGTAGGTCAAGGGTGTCAAAACAAGGCCTGCAGGCTGAATCCAGCCTGCGATGTGGTCAGATCGTGCCCACAGGGCCGTCCTAGAAAATGTAAGGGGCGAGCATCACTTTGTCTACCCAATGCGAAGAGGAAACATGGCAGCAGTTTGGGGAGAGGCGTCAAGCTGGCCACACCCACCCAATCAGCCATGCCCGATGAGTGGCATCAAGCTTGCCACACCTACCCCATTGGCCACGCCCACCCAGTCGGCCACGCCCAGCCAGCCCTCCAAGGTCAACCACAGCCCTGATGCGGCCCTCCGTGAAATTGAGTTTGACACCCCTGTCATGGGTGCAAAGAGATGCCATGGTCTCCAACAGGATGATATTGACCTAGGCAGTATTATTCTTATCAATCATAAATGATTTCTTCCCTGTGAGCAAACTAGACAAAATGTCCAGATGTTTTGATCACAGATACCGCATGATTTCTTCTTCTTAATGTGGGAAAAAATATGTGTAGTGAATGGTATGCCAAAGAAATCAGATTTATTCCCTCGCTACCAGCCGCTGCTTTTCTGTTCTTCTAAATAAAATCTGCCTGACCAACTTAGATAAGAATAACAGAATAACAGAGTTTGAAGGAACCTTGTAGGTCATCTAGTCCAACCTTCCCCCAAGCAGGAGACCCTACACCATTTCTGATAGATGGCACAAGACAAGACGATGGGGGGAGGGGTCAAAGGTAGATGTGATTTTATTTATATTTTTATTAAATGTCTATGCTGCTCATCCCAAAGGTGCTTTTTCAAGAGGCAACTGGACTTTCTTGTTTTTTCTTTTGAAGATGTTTCGCTTCTCATCCAAGAAGCTTCTTCAGCTCTGACTGGATGGTGGGGGAATAGAAGAATAGAATAGAATTATTATTTTTTAGAATAGAATTCTTTATTGGCCAAGTGTGATTGGACACACAAGGAATCTGTCTTGGTGCAAATGCTCTCAGTGTACATAAAAGAAAAGATACATTTATCAAGAGTCAAGAATCATAAATTACATCACTTAATAACAGTCATAGGGTACAATAAGCAATTGAATCATACAAGGAAACAGTCCATATAAATCATAAGGATACAAGCAACAAAGTTACAGTCATACAGTCACAAGTGGAAGGGGATGGGCGATAAGGAGTGATGAGAAGATTAATAGTAATAGTAGTGCAGACTTTGTAAATACTGTAGTTGGACAGTGTTGAGGGAATTATTTGTTTAGCAGAGTGATGGTGTTCGGGGAAAAACTGTCCTTGTGTTTAGTTGTTCTGGTGTGCAGGGCTCTATAGTGTTGTTTTGAGGGAAGGAGTTGAAATAGTTTATGTCCGGGATTTGAGGAGTCTGCAAATATTTTCACAGCCCTCTTTTTGACTCGTGCAGTATGCAGGTTCTCCATGGAAGGCAGGTTGGTAGAAATTGTTTTTTGTGCAGTCCTAATTACCCTCTGAAGTCTGTGTCTGTCCTGTTGGGTTGCAGAACCAAACCGGACAGTTATAGAGGTGCAGTTGACAGACTCAATAATTCCTCTGTAGAACTGGATCAGCAGCTCCTTAGGCAGTTTGAGCTTTCTGAGTTGGCACAGAAAGAACATTCTTTGTTGTGCTTTTTTGAGGATGTTTTTGATGTTAGGTGTCAATTTTAGGTCGTGATATAGTAGAACTTAGATATTTGAAGGTCTCTACTGTTGATACTGTACTGTCTAATATTGTAAGTGGTGGTAATATGGGAGTGTTTATATTTCTTGCAGACAGTTGGTCATTTGCATCCTTTTAGAGGGTTATTGAAGCAGATCACAGATAAACATCCAAGTGCTTCAACAGCCCTCTAAAAGGATGCAAATGACCAACTATCTGCAAGGAATATAAATCCTCCCATTTCCCACCATCCAGTCAGAGCTGAAGAAGCTTCTTGGATGAGAAGCAAAACTTCTTCAAAAGAAAAAAACAAGAAAGTCCAGTTGCCTCTTGAAAAAGCACTTTTGCCAACAAAAGAAAAAAGAAAAAACACCTTTGTGACAACCATGACCTGGAGGATTGAAAATCTCTACAGACTATGCTGCCCACCTTACCATTAAGCGGATTACAAGATAAAAGTGAGAATGTATGCTTTAAAAAGATAAATACTAACATTAAAATGAACAAAGAAAGATGCCTAAGGAAGAACCCAATCTACAACAGGGGAAGAAGTTCATTCTTTAAAAATCTTTCCGGGCATTTTCCTACCTAGACAGCAAATAGACTGTGATTTATTTGGCCGTTTCCATGTACACCAAGGGTCTGCAAACTTGGAAAGTTTAAGACTTGTGGAACTTCAACTCCCAGAATTCCTGAGCTAACATGACTGGAGGAGGGATTCTGGGAGTTGAAGTCCTCAAGTCTTAAAGCTGTCAAGTTTGAAGAGCCCGGATGTAGACCAATGGCTGGCACCTTCATATGCACATCCTTGTTTTGTTTTTCAATCGGACAGCTCTTGGGCCTCCATGTTCAGCGTTGTCCCAACCATCTGTTTCGGATTTCAGGTAATAAAATAAACATTTCCTTCTTTTTTTTCTTCTTTTCCTTTTGTAATCCTTGTTGCAAAAGGAGACTTAAACTTATAAATATCTTTAAGGATGCAAAAACATAGATGTAGGCTCCACCTTTTTACTATCGGGAGAAAAAGAGGAACTTTGTCATTGATTCCCCATTCCTTGTTTACATTAAAATCAGGAAATTGAGAAGTGTTGAGATGTGAGCTGTGCAGGAGGTCCTCGACTTACGACCACAATTGAGACCAAAATTTATGTTGCTAAGGGAGACATTTGTGTTCAGCGAGTTTGCCCCATTTTACGTTTTTTCTCGCCGCATTTGTTAAGCAGATCACAGCGGTTCTTAAATTAGCAACACGGTTGTTAAATGAATCCGGCTTCCCCGTTGACTTTGCTTGTCAGAAGATCGTAAAAGGGGATCCCACGACCCCAGGACTCTGCAACTGTCATAACTGTGAGTCAGTTGTCAAGCATCCAGATGTAAATCAGGGGACCCTGGGGATGCTGCAACAGTTACAAGGGTGAAAAATAGCAATAGCAAAAGCTCTTACTTATATATGGCTTCACTGTGCTTTACAGCCCTCCCTAAGTTTGCAGAGTCAGCCTATCGCCCCCAATAATCTGGGCCCTCCTTTTACCCACCTCAGAAGTATGAAAGGCTGAGTCAACCTTGAGCTGGTCAGGATCAAACTGCTGGCAGCGGGCAGAGTTTAGCCTGCAATACTGCATTCTAACCAATGGGAGGGAGGGAGGAAGAGAAGGAAGGATGATAGCAATAGCCCTTAAACTTATATACCACTTCACACTTTCTAAGTGGTTTACAGAGTCAGCCTTTTGCCCACAACCACCTGGGTCCTCATTTTACCCACCTTGGAAGGATGGAAGACTGAGTCAACCTTGAGCCAGTGAGAATCGAATTCCTGGCTGTGGGCAGAGTCAGACTTCAATAATGCATTCTAACAGGAAGGAAGGAACAGAAGGAAGGGCAATAGCAATAGCCCTTAGACTTATATGCCACTTTCCAGTGCTTCACAGCCCTCTCTAAGTGGTTTACAGGGTCAGCCTATTGCCCCCAACAATCTGGCTCCTCATTTTATCCACCTCGGAAGGACGGAAGGCTGAGTCAACTTGGAGCCTGGTGGGATTCAAACTGCCAAATTGCTGGCAGCCGGCAGGCAGCAGAAATAGCCTGCAGTACGGCATTCTAACCACTGCGCCACCATGGCTCTTATAAAAGGGATAAATATTAAAAAATATAAATATAAAAGGGATAAATAAAAGGGATGTCCCCTTGGTGGTAGGGATGGGTATCAGCAGCTTTCTGGATGTGAAGTGAGGAAGAGGTCAATGCAACGAGCGCTTGCTTTAGTGCTATGTTGTGTGTTCCTCTTTTCCTTCCAGTGTCATGAAGCCTGTGTGGCCATCTACTGCAGCCTGAGCGATAAGAGACTCTCCCACTGGGTGGTGATATCTGTGTTGTCCATGCTCTTCTGCTTGTTGATATACTCCCTGACAGGTATCTACCTCTGAAAGCGGTCTCCATCAGAAGAGACTTTTCCCACCTGGTACCCTCAGAAAGTACTAATAAAGGAGAATATTTGTAGCTCAAGGTTGACATGAGGGGTTGCTCTCTGGGCTTGGTAGTTTTCTTGCAGACATTTCATGACCTAGCTCGGTAACATCATCAGTGCTCGAAGGGAATGAAGTTTGCAGGGAGGAGGAGGAGGAGGAGGAGGAAGAGGAGGAGGAAGAGGAGGAAGAAGAAGAAGAAGAAGAAGAAGAGGAGAAGGAGGAGGAGGAGGAGGAGGAGGAGGAGGAGGAGGAGGAGGAGGACGACGACGACGACGACTGTGGGGTCTTTGGTGCTCTCTGTGCTTGGTAGTTTTCTTGCAGACGTTTCATGACCTAGCTCGGTAACATCATCAGTGCTCGAAGGGAATGAAGTTTGCAGGGAGGAGGAGGAGGAAGAAGAGGAGGAGGAGGAAGAGGAGGAGGAGGAGGAAGAGGAGGAGGAAGAAGAAGAAGAAGAGGAGGAGGAAGAGGAAGAGGAGGAGGAGGAGGAAGAGGAGGAGGAAAAGGAGGAGG